CGAGCAGAAGAACAGCCAGCGAGGAGACTAAGCTACATCGCAAAGTGGAGAGAGCACATTTTTATTTTATAATTACACTTCATCATTTTGTTTTATTCATAGCCCATATGCGTACAATTGCTTTCTTTAAGATTAAAAATCATTCAGAAATCGAATTCGAAAAAATTATCGAATTTGAAAATATTATCGATACACACACACACACACATATATATATATATATATATATATATATATATATATATATATATGTATGTCGATAATATTTTCAAAATTTTTTCGAATTCGATTTCTGAATGATTTTTAATCTTAAAGAAAGCAGTTATGCGCTTTATGGGCTATGAATAAAAAAAATGGTGAAGTGTAATTATAAAATAAAAATATGCTTTCTCTCACCTTGCGATGCAGCTTAGTCGCCTCGTTGGTTGTTCTGCTCGCATTGAAACGAATCCAGAAATATTATTAAATCGTTTATGTTATTAATACAATGTTTGGGTACTTATACGACACTTCCGACGCACTTGCGACCAATGAAAAATAAATAATCCAGAAATTTACTTGATAGTCCTCACTAGTCAAGCTCGCGACGCACTTCTGAGTAACAATTCGAAAAAAACGACGCTACGAAAATAGAGGACTTTGATTGACTATATTGCGATTGATTGAATTGCTTATTACCGTATACGCTAATATCGTTTTCGTTAACGAAGAGATTTACGCGGAAAGCGATCGTCGAAGATATTCGACGATGTTGAGACTGTTCGCACGCGCGATTTGCTACGCAATCGTTCAAAAGATCCCGAAAAGGACACTTGCTAATGGCGATCGTTGACAACCGAACTGACTAATGGACAAGACAGCGAAACGACGCCATGAAAACGATTACCGATCTCGCCCCGACATATCGCGATTGACTAATTCACTTCTTACCGTGTATGCCGGCTGTTTACTCATCCGCACGATGCACTTCCTTCAACGGAGAAATTCACGCAGGAGACAATGCTCGCCCACGAATCCTTCTGATGAGACTAAGAACGTTCGCGCGCGACTACTACGCCACCGTCAAATAATCCCATAGAGGACGGCACTTACATATAGCGGTCGCTAACCAACGGACAAGACGGAAAAACGTCACGAAAATAACGATCTGATATCGCGATTGACCGATTCTCACTGTGTACGCTGATGTCGAGTATTTACTACCCCGATATGTCATTTCGTTAGCAAAGATATTTATGCGGAGGAACGGTTGCCCGAGTATTCCTCCGACGAGACCGAGAACGTTTCCGCGCGCGATTACTACGCCAGTGTTAAATAACCCCACTAAGACGACACTTGTTAATAAAGCAATCTTATAATATAAAATATAATTTAAAGCGGACAATCAACAGAAAAGTAACGCCACGAAAATAGCGGGAACTTATCGCGCTTAAAGATATCGCGATTTACCGATTCATTTATTATCGTGTATGTTGATACCGAGTACTTAATCCCCCGCATATACTGTTTCGTTAACAAAGAAATTTACGCGGGGACGGTTGCTTGAGTATCTCTCCGACGAGACTGAGAACGCACTTGCGCGCGACTTACTACGCCACCGCTAAATAATCCCAAAGAGGACACTTGTTAATGTGGCGATCATGGCGAGTTGACCAACGGATTAATTACGATTGACTTCTTACTGTGTACGCTAATGCCGCCTGTTTACTCACTCGTACGATGCGTTTCTTTCAACGGAGAAATTCACACGAGAGATGCACTCGCCCCAGTACCTCTCCGATAAGACTGCGAACGCACTTGCGCGCGATTTACTACGCCACCTACGTGCGATCTATTACGCCATCGTTAAATAATCCCAAAGAGAACACTCTTACTCGTATGATGCGTTTGCTTCAACGGGGAAATTCACGCGAGAGACGACACTTGCCCCACTACGTCTCCGACAAGACCGAGAACGCACTTGCGCGCGATTTACTACGCTAAATAATCCCAAAAAGGACACTTGTTAATGTGGCGATCGTTGACCACCGAGCTGACCAACGAATTAATTACGATTGATCGATTTACTTCTTACTGTGTACACTAATGCCGGCTGTTTACTCACTTGTACGTTGCGTTTTCTTTAACGGAGAAATTCACGCGGAAAACAACTCCTCGCCCTAATAACGCTCCGATGAGACTGTGAACGCACCCGCGCGCAATCTACTACGCCACCACTAAATAATCCCAAAGAGGACACTTGTTAATATGGTAATCGTTGATTACCGAGCTGTCCAACGGATTAATCGCGCTTTGATATCGCGATTGACCGATTCTTTACCGTGTATACTAATGCGGCTGTTTACTCACTCATACGATGCGTTTCCTTCAACAGAGAAATTCACACGAGAGATGACACTTGCTCCACTACGCCTCCGATAAGACCGAGAACGCACCCGCGCGCGCGATTTATTATGCCATTGCTAAATAACCCCAAAGAGGACACTTGCTAACATGATAATCGCCCGGCCAATAAACAGAACGGAAAAATAACTTCACGAAAATGATTGTCACTGATATCGCGATTAACCGCTTCATTTCTTACCGTGTGCACTGATATTGAGTACTTACTTCCCTGCATGATGCTCGTTCATTGACGAAGGATTCACACGCGATACAATTGTCGACGAGAATCCGCTCAACGATACCAACCGACACCGTTCGTGGGCGCGCTTTGCTCCGCGACCGTTAAAAAATCCCGAGAACAACACTTTGCTAATGGCCGTGGTCGACCACGAAGCCGATATCTCAAGCGAATGGTTGACCGAGTGTACCTTGCATTACGACGACCGCGACGGGCGCGATCTTCCTGGAATCGCGATCACACGGGCGATCTTTGGAGAGCCGCAGCATACACGTCGCCCTCCACCGACGCCGGCCCGGGTCGCGACGACGACGACGACGACCAGCACCGGTTACGTATCGCGATATAGCCTTGGGCATTCCGGTAACGAACGCGCCACGATGGCCGGCCGTCACTCGTTCCCGACGCCGATCTGCACGCGGACATCGTCCCCGACGAGTGAAATGATTATTCGGCTCATAATTCACGAACGTCACTCGCGGCCCGTTGCCAAACTCGAGAACTGACTCACGGACACGCACTAATACTATCGCACGACGCGCGAGCTAATCACGTCGTCGTCTTGGAGCAGTGTTTACCAACATCGTTTTTGCCGGCCGGCTTCGCGCAACGTCGCGCGGCGCGCCTCGCGCGCTTACAGTTTTCGTTGGACTTTCGCGACACACGCGTCGAGAATATTCCGTCACATTGTCGAATCGTGTTTGTCAACAGAGCTCATTACTACGGGCCGCGATATTTGTCACGATAGTGACAGTGGATTTGATCTTTCTCAAAGAACTTTCTGAACTGCTGCAAGTCTGCACACTGCTGCATCAAGTCAGAGTGAAACGACTTACTGCACCACTGTACACCAGTGCAGGAAGAGAACAGGCCTAGTGTCGCGATACGAGTAATTACTAGAAGGTGGCAACTGTGCTCCGAATTTTTAGTAGTAAGAGTGACATTTAAGACAAACAACCTCTCGCCAGTGGACGATAGAGGGCGATACGCGCTTGCAGGTCACTGCCCGAACAGTATCGCGACGTGCCGGTGAGTGTATGATTATGTGTTTCGCGGTGATTCACAGTCTTTTCATTCGGATCGCGAATTTGACAACGAGAACATCGTGATATCGCCGAATAATCGCGCTGTGGTGTACGAAACGTAGAGTACCAGAGCATCATATACGCTGTAGGTGGGTCTTTTTTACCAATGTTAATCTCGCGATCGATAACACCGGTCAGTAATAAAGGTAAGTGCATTGTGCTTCCGCGTTGTTTACATTTCGTCACGCGCTTTCCACATAATCGTAATATCGGCAAGTGATCGCGCATAAAACGTAAAGTATCAGAATATCGTATATACACTATAAATAGATCTTTCTTATCAATGTTAATCTTACGATCGATAACATGAGTCAATAACAAAAGCGAGAGCCCGCGTTGTTTACGTTTCGTCAATGCGTTTTTTCACGTGAGATCAAGCATACAGACGCACTCGCCACGGAAAGAAGGCTGAATTTTCGTCATGAATTGGCAGCAAATTCGTGTGCGTGTGCGTGCGCGTCTTCTAGAAATTCAAACTTCTTGAAATACGTGATCACGTGATCAGTGTAGAAACATTACCTCACGTACAAACATTTGCTCGTCAGTGTCGGCCATATCGTGCAACGGATTGTTGCTGGGTCGGAGTCGTTCCGTACTTCTCGCGGTATTTAGTCGTCGAAAGTGGTTCGGCCACGCGAGTGAACGTCGAGAGTGTCGGGATGTGGCGATACGCGACGCGCTCGTGCGTAATTAGTGTGCTCAGGTCGCGATTCGTCCGCATTTTCTGACATTTGTCGCCGAGGTCCGTTCCGCTCGTCGAGCAGACGCGATGCCGGCCCGTCGTTGTGTCGTGTGTAACGTATTTCGCGTTATTTATGCACTCGTCGAGCGCGATGAAGCGGACGAGAGCGCCGACAGCATCGCCGTCGAGGCTGATTATAAGGTGATCGCCGCGATGTGTCGGTCAAGAAGGCCGATAGTATTTGGTTGACGCTCGGTGTCCTTTTCTGCCATGTCGTTATCGCGGCGCTACAGTTTCTCTTTTTCGAATCTTTTCACTGGTCGCAAGTGCGTCGCGAACACGACCAGTCCGGAACTTTTCGGTGAATATGAATGAATCGACGAATCTTGTCGGTGTGGCTGCTTTTAATCCGAGTACATGGACAGACACGGCGAGTTTTGCATCGTGCCGTCGAGAGTCGTGGAGAGAGGAGAGGAGAAAGAGAGAGTGAGATGCCACGAAGCAAGCAGCAAGGAACTTCTTCCGCGCAATCCTGGAACGCTAGTCTTCTAACTGGTGAGTCGATTCATCTGTTACTCGAACAATCTTCTGACCGGTGAGTCAATTCAAATCTGTTACTCTCGCGAAATTGAAAATACTTTTATAATAATCGCACGACTGCGTTGTCTTTCTCATGTTTGTGCGATTCTTGTCGAGACATATTGCGCGTTTTCAAGTTAATTCAAGTTTTAATCGACTGACTATAAAAGCGTCACTCAAATACGATGCTTTACATAATTGAAAGATCTGTCAAGGAATAAATTTCGTCGAATAATTATATAGCTACACTGAGAGAAAAAAATATCTAAAAAATAGTAAATATTTTTATTTAGTGGATACACTAACAACATATTTAACGTATATATAAAATATTTTTTAAATAAGAAAATATACGTTTTCTTAAAATATTCGTTTTTCACAAAAGCAATTACTTATTTTATTTAAATAAGAGAATTTAGATTTAAGTGGATATACTGTTAGAATCCATCATAAATAAATATTTACTAATTTTTTAATATTTCTTCTCTCAGTGTAGAAAATTGCAATACACTGAGAGAAAAATATTGAAAACGTAAAATATATTTATTTGATATGATAACTTTAATAATACATATAGATTTCATAAACGTTTCTGAACTATACGTGCTATCTGGGAACATACTAAATCCTTTTATTTAAATAAAATAAATAGCTGCATTTTCATGAAAAATCCAGGGAAATGTATATTTTCTTTTTTGGAAAATATTTTATATATTAGCATAAGTAAATATGTCATTAATACCCATCCACCAAATGAATATTTTTTTATCTCTTATCTTTCCTCTAACAGAGTATGGGAAAATGAATTACTGAAATATATATATATATATATATATATATATATATATATATATATACACGTTTATTTTATCTTTTGCTTTATTCTCAGCGCATCTCGAATCGAAATTTAGAATTTTTGGTATTTATTTTTAATAATACTCCTTGGATTGCAAGTCTATTCTTGTATTTGCCAGTGTCTTTTCACTCGTGAGATAATACTGTTATTGTTCTGTTGTAATGTTATTATCTTGTTATGATAAGAGTTATCCAAGTTCAAATTTTAATTGATATCCCTGAGCACACAACTGTTATTCTTACGTTTTTTCTATTTCTATTTCTGGCACTTCAATTCTTCAAAATAAAATAAAAACCAATAGAGGAAGATAAAAGATGGCTTTAAAATCCCTGTTTGCTTGATTCTGAAATCTGTTAAAAAACAATCAATTTTACCGACTTACCCCAGTGGTCAAATAGCCTCGATTTCTCCTATATACAAGGTAGTTCTAGAACAGTCCTATATAGTACAGTCCTATATAGGGTAGTCTTATATACAATCCTAGAACAACTTCCGAAGCTTTTGTGGAGGCATAGTACGGATTGAGGTGAACATAAAAGTTCTATACCGTTTCGTGATTGGCAATAATTATTGAGGTATTAATTAAAGAAAATTTATGAATGATCACGCGAGATATGATATATGAGCTGTAGTGGCGACGTCTGCCATCGTATGTTTGTACATTAGATCAAACTGAACAAAAAAATACTCTACTACTTTTCTAATAACTTTGTGGATTTTTAATTACTAATTAAAGAAAATTAGCAAATGGTCGCTAGGGATGATATATTAATGTTCTCTAATTAATAACTAAAAGTCTATAAAATTATTAGGAAAAAGGTAGAGAACTTTTTTGTTTAGTTTGAAATGTACAAGCACACGATGGCAGATGTCGCTATTACAGCTCATCTATTTTGCGTGATCACTCACAAATCTTCTTTAATTAATATCTCGATAATTATTGCGAATATTACAAAACGGTATAGGACTTTTATATTTACCTCAATCCATATTATACTTCCACAGGAGTTTCGGAGGTTATTCTAGGACATTCTGTATATCATTATGATGTTATCTTTTATTATATATGTAGTTATCAATCTTCAATTTCTAACATAGAGTACATAGCAATAGATAATTATTTCTAGCATCATATCAACACATTAATTCGTAATGTTGCATTTCAAAATTTTGCATTAGTCTTTTCAGTTTGAAAAACTTCAGAATCAACATAAGCTCCATATTTCGACTCAAGATGTACGCTGAAGATTGAGATAGGTCTAGAAATTAAGAAAAATATTCGATATTCTTGGAGCACTCACGAAAAACAATCGCTTAATTGGCTCAGCATTTCATTTATACGCGGACACTCGCTGTTATTCGCGACGGCGAGGAAGACGTGCGAGTAGAAGTCGCGAATCGAACGGAATGAGAGAGAGAAAGAGAGAGAGAGACTCTCTCGTGAGGCCTGGCGGCCTTGGACGGGCCCAACGGGCCGCATGTAGGACAGACAGACAGACGGACGTACGGCCGGAGAGTGGACCGCTAACAGAGAGGCTGTATGGCGTCTCTGATTGCCCATTGTCCGACTAATAAGATATTCTATCATCTCTCGTCGTGCCGACGGTGTCCGGTCGTTTCGAGAGACAGTGCGAGCGCGCTCCTCCAACCGGCGACGAGATTCACCGGGGCCCGGCCAATCACGGCTGCACTCTCCCCTCGAGCCCCCTCCCCCGTCCACCCCCGGGCCCTTTTGTCGGGCAAATGAGCCCGGCGTAAGTCAACCGATAAATAATATCCGACTTTGCGACCAGCTGCGAGCTTTAATGCGGGCCCGTGTAAAAGTGTAATAGGGCCTTAATTGAACCCGCCCGGGACATCCACCGGACGTGGATATACGTAGGTAGCCGTCTATTTATATTCAAGCGCGTCCGATATGCGAGAGAGCGCGCTTCTTTCTGGATTATTCTCTCGAATGAAATCTCGAACGGTATCTCTTCGGGATAGCCTCTTATCGCGCGTCTCAGAGAATGAGACACACACACACGCATATACATATCAGGAACATCTCACTGCGATGAGACAAATTAGTCTCGCTCTATTATCGGCGCAGCGCGATTGTCATTGACGCCTACTATCGATAGCATCGTGGAGAAGCTCTCGCGGAAGCTCGTCTCGTCGGGCGATTTATCGAGCGAGTCCGTAGAACGGCATCGCGGCAGTCGTGACAGATGGTTTGCCCGGAGATCTTATTCGACGCGCATCGCAACGGGAATGACTAACGACGATGACGATTTCGCGTCTTTCGGCGGAATACGCCACCCGGCTCCGGACTGGCGATCGCCGGTCCGTTGTTGAGGTCGTAAGGTCCATTTCGGTTCGGTGCACTCGTCGACTTGCGCGCGGCGTAATGGCCGGTCAGCGGGCGAAATAAATGTAAATCCCCCTGCCAAACGTCGGTGTATGCGCGCACGTCCTAATCGCGCGTATCGCGAGATCGAGCCGGTGCTGCTCCCCGCGAACTGTCGGGTTTCTTAGCGTCGCCACGTGACCGATCACCGATCCAATCCATTATCCGTATTTTCCTGGCGTTGCGTCGAAAAACGGAACGCGCGCCCTCGATCGCCCGGCGTTTACCGCTATGTGTGCGGGCGTACGCGCGCGCGAATCCACGAAAATCTCGTGAATCCCCGCAGCGATCTCGCAACGAGCGACAGGTCGACTCCCCCTGCGAAGCCAGCGTCTCGATTTGTCACATTAACAAAGTGAGCCCGTCCCCGAATCGAAAGCCATTTCCTCCCGCCCGTTCCCGGCTCGTCCGCAGAAAATCCTCGCTCGCTCGCTGGCGGGAAGAAGGGTTGCCACGCTTACCCGAGGAAAAACTCACTCGGGCTGCGGATTCGGGGCGTAAAGGCGGAGGAGAAAGAAAGGACCGAATCGACGAAACGTCGAATTGAGTACCGCCCTAATCGTGTCGAGATCTCGTCCTATGGTGTGACGCGCGCGCGCGAGTATATGGCGTACTTAGTCGGGAGCGAGAGAAAGAGAAACAGGCGCCGCGAGAGGGGCAAAGAGAACCGGAGGAGAGAGAGCGAGCGAGAGAGAGAGAGTATGTGTGTGTGAGAGTTGGAGAGAGCGAGAGACGCAACGGGGCCGATCGAGGAACGTCCGGAGTGAATGAGAATCATGATGGTGGTGGGCGAAGGGTAGGAGGACGGAGGAGCAGGGCAGGGGGGGAGACTGCTGACGGTGGTCGAGAGAGTCGATCGAGCGTGGGTTGCGGGGCAGGCTAATGCGAATATGCTGTCGTCCAGATAGAAAGAGATACCCGATAGCGAATCTGTGTCCGACACGGATGTCGAATTAGCTTGGATTTAGGTTGCCCGGGGAACTGACAAATAGTTATTGCTTGATTAGGTGCCGGTACTAGAGGCAGCTACCCTACCGGTGCGGGACGACGGCCCTTTCCAGGTCCGCCGACGACGAGCGATTTTTGTCGGGGCCTGGAAGGAGGGTGGCTTTATCTTCGCTTCTTTATCGCCTACTAGATCGTGGAATCGTGCCGGAGCGAGCGCGACTCTCACCCTCTCTCACTCCCTCGTAGCCCTCTTTCTCGCGGGGGATCGATTGCGACGATAATCGACTCGATTACCGCGCTGTTAACGCGCGCGATCGCGACATTCATTCGCCCCGGGTGTGGGAGATGCGCGCCGGTCGTGGCCGTCGCTTCACGCGCCTTGTTAATAAAGAGCTCGGGAGAAATGCGTTATCTTTCGGCTGTGCACTTTAAGCGCGAGCCACTTTAGATACGCGCGGCGCGACGGAGTCCCTGCGGCCGCATACTCACCTAATCATAGTTTCCCTGCGACATTTCGGCGGAGGAAAAAGTGTCTCACGCGCGAGAACGAAGGGTGTGTAAGGTTCGTCGACGTGCAGGTCGTCTAATTTATATGTTAATGAACGAATGACGGCCGGTCAGGTGACGCGAGAGCGAATTTCATTTGATCACGAGGCAAGTTGATCGGCGAAGGCTATATGTGTGCGCGCGCGCTGCTCCGAGTTCTGATAATCGTTATTACTTTTGAAAGTGACGGGGATCGTTGGTTACCGTCATCGTCGGGAGCTTCTCTCCCCTCGTCGA